AGTTCTTTGTCTCTAAACTTGGCTTGAGCTAGGCAGCCTTCCAGATCAAAGAAGCCTTCAAACAGAGGACTGTCCTCTAACAAACATTTATAGGACTGTCATCTGTAAAACAGGGTATCTGGTTATCTTATAATGATAATGTGTGAACCCAACACATCAAAGCATTTACAGTAACAGGTCTCATCCAAATATCTTTATATAATTCATGGTGAATTTCTGCATTTTTTATGCAAAAACGCTTGTCTTGATTAGTGTGACAGAGGGTTCTACTCAATTCATTCTTAGAACAATTTTAATTTGAAGTATAAGCAGTTTCCAACACAGCAATCAAATTATGTATTTGTGCTAAAGCAGAGAAATATGTATCTAGCCATCCATAGATGCAGTATATAATAGTCTAAATAACCAAGCAAATTTTGGCTGTTTTTTAATGGTTCTTGATTTTGTATCTTTGTCTTGTGCAACCCGTGAAAGTGATCCTTTGTGTGTTCTGAAATACCACACTATGATATTTTTCAAGCTTTTTACTTGTAAGGCATTTTTACAACTAATGCCATGTTCCTACAGTATAGTGGCAATTCCTAGGTTATTTAATCCAGCAATTGTGGGGACAAGCAGAGCAGGTTAGTTGCATGGTCAAGCCTTTTAATGAACAATTCAGAAAACTGCATCATGAACCTAGAAATGCTGGATTGTTTGACCAATAAAAAACCCAAAGTGTCCAGGTTCATATGTAATGAAACAACTTAGGGCAGGTCATTCCTGAATGATTGATGAAAGGGGGAAATCATAAGCACATGGCTTATGAACTTCAATTGTTCCCAAAATTTCTCAATTAAACAGAAACCCAGGAACTGCTGCCATGAACTGTGAACTACAGTGATACCTTGGCTCACGAACTTAATCCATTCCCAGGACTCTGGTCGTGAGCCAAATTGGTCGTGAGCCAAGTCAAATTTCCCCATAAGGTTCAGTGTAAATAAGGTTAATCCGTTCTGTAACCATTTTTTTAAAATCAGAAAAATGTGAAGCCAAGTGACAAAGAGCAACAAAGATTGCGGTCATCTCCCCCCCGCCACCCCAAGCACAAGCATGGCCATCTCCCCGTCCCCCACCAGCACAACCGAGATAGCGCCTGTCATCCCTGCACGTGCCCATCATCCCAGGGTGCTGGGGGGGGGAGGGGAGAGACAGGCGTGAATGGGGCGTGCTGGGGGAGGAAGAAATGGGCACGAATGGGGCGTACTGGGGGAGGGAGAGATGGGAGCGATCTTGGCCATCTCCCCGCTGCCCCCAGCACGATCGCAGCCATCTCCCCACTTGGGGGGGTAGGGAGATGGCCGCGATTGTGCTGGTTGGGGGGGGGGGGAGATGGCCGACATTGCACCTGTCTTTCCTGCAGGAGTGCGCCCATGATCATGCACGTATTCCCTGCATGAACGCAACTGCGATCGTGACCATCTCCTCACTCGGGTCACCACCCAATGCGGAGTTCGGAACCCACATCAAGATTTTCATGAAATTTTTGTTCGCGACCCGATTTGGTCATGAACCAACATGTTTGTGAGCCGAGGTACCACTGTAGATCTACATGTCTACCATGAAATCTCTGCACATTAGAAAGAAGCCAGAAGCACGCTCCAGAATGCACACAGGCTGTAGAGCTTTAACAATATTTGGTGTAAACTGCTAATGCAACCAAATGTAACTTTGTGAAAGCTACATTGCAGAGCAAGCTCAGCATGGCAGACAATAAGGTGTGGGAGCCAAGCTTGCCTTCATTATACATTTCATCTGACTTCTCACATCATCACTCATTGTCAGAATTAGTAGAGCTATAGTCCTTTGGTATGGGGCAACCTTTTACATACAAACCTTTCCTACAAGTAGCAATTACTTTTGAAATACTGCCATGACATAGGCAGTATTTCATAGGCAGTACACGCATTGTAATACACCAAGGTTCCAGAGAATGAATGAATGAAACCAATGTTACAATCAACAGAGGAGCTCAAGATATCAAATAGCTATTTTCAAATTGTCTGCAAATTCACACCATGATCAATGCAGAGACTAAAGGTGAGCCATGGGCCACTCCAACAAGTGTATGTCTGTATGTACAATGTATGCACCACAGTGCAAGCTTACATTTAACTAAATATTTCCTTTGTAATTTTCACTGATCCAGGTCTCACAGCTGGCAGGATGGCACTTTTAAATCCGAATAGCAGTGTACTTCATTAGATTTGAGAGTTCCTGCAGTGAAAGCTATACAGAAACTTCTGGGTCTGTATACATGAATTTTTTACATGTGCAAAAATGGATTTCGTGGACAACCTCCTAGGTTCACATCTTGGGTTACAATTTTGAGAACACATGTGCTTCAAAGTTATACAACATGACCTAATTAGAAAATGGACTCAAAGCACTGCCAAACACAGTTGGGATTTTAAGTGCTTTAATAAATCTAGATGTCTGAGATTATAATGATAAGCTATTTTAATACAAAATATTTCTATCTGTTGGACAGAATATTAATGTTGCCTTACTCAAAGTATGCACTTAACTATAATAGTATATTTTGTTAGATTGGTTTATATTTATGTTTTTCAATGACTTATTGTGGTTAAAAGTCATGCAATCTGTTAATGATTTTGCCTACTCTAATGCATTCTTAAAACAACTTTATATTCATTACTTTTAATTTCAACATTGTTTTAAAGTAATTTGAAGGCTCAGTGGCTGCTCTTAGATTTTTCTGTGTCTCTGCTCTCACAAAATAACTACGTGTCACAAAAACATAGGTAACAAGTCACCTAGCAACAGGAAGTTTCATACCAGGCAGAAAGTTATGGTGGAGACATGAATGAATAAACTGTGTGTCTTGAAAGAACGAAAGTCCCACAGTCCAAGAATGATTGAAACAACAGTGGGGTGAGTGTAAAAGACTTTCTTTTAACCAATGATAGGTGACTTTCCCCAGGCTCAACTAAAATGAGGTCAGTTGAGCTTGATTCAAACTTGGGTCAAATCAGGAAAGCCCTTAATGTGTTAATTCACCAACAAGGTAAGTGAACACTACCAAATCTTTACACTATACTTTCCGCTGTCCATAACTATGGGCATGGATTTGCAGAGAAATATGATATAGTTCCAAACCAACCACAAAAATTAACAGTATCAGTCTTTAAATAAATCATAATATCTCTCCCTCTCCCTCCCTGCCCCCTCCAAGCCTGCTTCTCACTTCTGCACCATTTCTAACAACTACTGGCAGTGCATGAATATATCTATTGCATCGCTGGACCACTTCACATATTGATATTCTTTGGATACACACTTAAGATGTTTTAACTGCAAACCTAAACATTTGAAAAAGTGGAAGTCTACACTTCAGATATTTTAAGTATGCACATAGGACAAACAGTGTCAGCTTTATGCAAAGGATGAAATCAATACAAATCTGATAACAGAAAAGGAAACATTTAGATCAGTGGAAGGTCATTTCAATCTTCCGGAACACTTCATGGAAAATTGTCATTCTCCAGTGAGGTAATTATAAATGGAGACTCCATTTGAGTCCATTTACTGAAATTAAACTTATCAAGAAATTTGATTCTACCCATTTAGGCCTGAATGTTAATGGTTTCCTGTCCCGTTACCCCTATGGGTATGAAGTAGCAGCAATGCCAGAATAATGACGGTATCACCACTTACTGCTAGTGTGAATGACCAGTTCCAAATAGCATGGTTACAGGCTATCCTTACTTTTCACTGGCAGGTTACTCCTCTCTAGCTCTCTCGTGTGTGTGTGGGGGGGGGGGGGACACATGTGCACCTGATAAGGTGGACTCTAATCCATGGAATTTCATGCCAAATAAACCCATAAAAGGAAAAGGCTTTTTCTTAGTTTTATCTTAAAATGTAGGGCAGATACGGGACACGGGGCGTACGCATCAGGCCTCTGGGACTGACTCCCCCGTGAGTGCACAGGGGATGGAAACCCGGCTTTGCTTCCGTGTAGCAGTGTATGAAATGGCCCCAAACTGAATGATACCTGACCCGTTCTTGAGAGCACATTCTTCTCTTCGGATGGATCAATGCTTACATTTAGAAGTCCACGTACCGTATTGTATTTCGATCACAGCAGAATCTGTTCAAGAATAACAAGGAACATCCAACCCCCGCCCCACGACCATTTATTGACATACGGGGGATGGCACTGAAATCAGGTACGGGCGCTGGAGGGGAGGGCGGGGAAACCAGGCGAAGCGGCGGCCAGAGGTCGGGCAGGGAGGCCAGCCGCGGCACGAGGGCGCTTCCACCTGGCGAGGAAGTGGGAGCGCATTAGGACCCCGAGGGAAAGCAGAAGCGCCAGGGGTCCCCGTCCTACCGTGCGTGTCTCGCACACGAACGCCCGCGAAGGCAGGGGAGGCGGCTGTGTGGCAGGCAGCGACGGGGCAGGGGCTGCGCTGCTCTGAGCCCGGGACGTCTGCCAGAGGTGCCGCTGCCTCCGCCGCGGGTTGCGATGGCAGCCGCCGCCGCCGCCGCCGCCGCCGCCGCCCACTCATCCGACGAAAGGAAGCTCTGAAACCCGGCGCTGGCTCGGCTACCTCCGGCCGCGGCACCGTCCGTCCCCTTGGCACACATGCGCGCCCGCCTTCCGCCCCTCCTCGCCTCACGCTGCAGCGCGCCCACTCCCGGCTCGCCGTCCTCAGGCTGCCAGCGAGGGGCTCCTGTCTGGCCGCTCGCCCCCGGGCGACGCCCCCTGCCCGCCCGCCCGCTCGCTGGGGGGCGCGGAGCATGTGCCTGGGCGCGCGCGCCTGAGCGAGCGAGCGAGCGCGCCCCCCTCCGCAGCCGCCTCCTGCTGCCGAGCGGAGCAGTCAGTCCGTCCGAGCGGCGCTGCTGGCGGCGGCGGCAGCGGCCACCCCGAAGTTTGGCTGGCGGCTCCGGCTCTCCCCGCGGACAGCCCGCGAGAGCTCCCCAGCCCAGCGCAGCCTGGCCCGGCCCGGCGGAGCCCGCCCGTTCGCTAGCGCTTTGTCCTGTCTTCCTTCTCAGCCCGTGAAGAGCCGGCGAGCCCCGGCGGACACTGACGCCGCTGCCCTCCACCGCAGCATGCTGAAAGTCACCATGCCCTCGTCGTCCTCGTCTTCGTCGTCCCCCTCCACCTCGTCCACCGGCACCGGCACCGGCGCGGGCGCTGCTGGCGCTGCCTCTGCCGCCGCGGGCCGGGTCGCGGCCGCCGCCGCTGTCCCAGATTACTGGATCGACGGCTCCAACAGAGACACCCTGGCCGATTATTACGAGTTGGAGTCAGAGTTAGGACGGTAAGCAAGCGAGAGCTTCCCGCGGGCGCTGCAAGGATCGGAGAAAGGAAGGACGGCTGGGGAAAAGGCCAGCTTTTGGGGTGGGGGAGGGAGAACGATGCAGCGAGCGAGGCTTGGGCACAGAATACATCCTGTGCTGGGTAAGACGCCGGTGGTGTAGGATGGGGGGTGCATGGGGGGCACTGGGGGTGGTGGTGTGATGTATCGCTTCGGCGCTGGCCAGCCCGTGGGTATGTCAAGGCAGAGACACCATCTTCGTATGCAGAGCAGCGGCAGCTCTAGACAAAGCGGTGCCGGTAGCGGATTCGCGTGCAGGGCAGAGCAGGCTGCAAGGCGCCCTCCGCGCAGAACGAGGCGGGGTGGCGCGGAGGGGAGGGCAGGGCAGATTCTCGTGGGTTGGAGGGGTTTGCGGCGGGCAGCGGTCCGGGTGCGCGCGGTGGGGAGCATCCATCCCTAGACAGCAGCGCCGGTAGGGTGGCCAGAAACGCATTTAGAGCAGGGTCTGAGGACGGCAAAGGTGGCTGCTTCGGGAAGTGTGTGTGTGTATTTCTGAACGAGTGAGCCGGGGCGGGGGGCAGGGTAGGAAAGCCAGGCAGTAATTCTGGACCGTGGCAAGGCAAGAGGATAGTCTGCCCCGGTGCAAGAGCAGCGGACGTGCTTATCTTGAAACTGCCATGTGGGACGTCACCGTGCAGAATGGGATGGCTACCTGGTACCTTTCATTTGCACCTGCTGATGCTGTGGAGTGTGGTGTGTTTGCATGCGAAATCGTGTTGAACGTGCTAGGTTGGTACCTCAGCACCTCATTCAGTCATACTGTGAGAAATTCTAACACTCCCCAGCCCCCTTCCCACGCTATAACGAGAAGAAAAGAGCTGAAAACGACTGAGCTCTTCCTTGCAGTTCGCTGATGCCCCTTTTCTTTACATGTGTGGGAGGCGGTATTGAAAGGTGTCCCATCTGTAATGCTCTTAATAGGAGAAGAAGAGTTGCTTTTTTAAACACACATACATTAGGGTACTCAGCATTATTATTTAATCCATGGTAAACTTATTCTATGAGGCAAATGGCATTGAAAAATTAAATAGTAATCTTCTGTAGTCTTGCCAGTAGTTGCTGGAGAGGGGCAGTGAATCATTTAAAACAGTTGTAAGCTAGAAGAATAGACTGATGCCCCAGTTTGAAGAAACAAACAGCCCAGCACTAATTATGTGGGAAGAGGCTAAGCTTGCAGCCTCATCTTCTGAAACATTAAGAAATATTTTGCAAATAACATCTCAGGAGCATCATTATTCAGAATAATTATTCAGTGGCAACATCTGTGGAATACTTATGATGTAGCAAAACAGAAATGACAGCATTTCCAAAAATGTTGCGTTCCTAGTGCATTTTAGATCAGCTCACCAATGGAATAGGTCATGGTATAGAGGCAGAAACTTGATAATTTATATAGTTTTCTCAAAGTGAACAATGCCAATCCTAAGTCAAAACTATTTTCATTACAAACATTGTTTGGAATAATATCTGACCTACCTTTAAAAGTCTGTTTCTCTGAGAGCTATATTCTGAAAGTGTCTGACTTAACTAGGGGGCAATGAAGTGCCAATATGTTAGTTAAATACTAGGAGAAGTATGAGCACTCAAGATATGGCAGGGACTGTGATGTCATGTGAACTTCCTGTGAGTCTTAAGTGGAGTTTTTTCTTGCTTGTAGGGCTAATTCTTGATATACAAGAATACTGGGGTAAGAATAACATGGAAGGCTGTGACAGGAAAGGAAAATATCAGCTGACAGCATGTTCCATGGGTTTAGAAATACGCATCTAGAAATAACAGCTGAAAATGGTTTATTGTAAGCATATACCTCATTGATACTTGCTACTTCAAACCCATTAAGAAAGCAAGTAGCCAAATGCACCATCACCCATGCAGTTTTCCACTTGTTTATGGAAGGTGGGATAAAGGCTTCTGTAAGCATCTGTTTGACCTATTGTACCTGTATCCCATCCCTGCTTTTGACACCTGTTTCAGTGGCATTTCAGTGCTGCTGCTAATTGCCCATCCCTTTATGCTTCTGTCATTGCTTCTAATGAGAGCAGCACCCCCCAAAAGACTAGATCAGTGTGAACAATGGCTGGAAGGGCAGAACAGATGTCACTGAGTAGGAGCCTGTGAAGCCAAATAAAAATGTAGAAAGAGCCCTGAGGATCAGAGAATGTGTGGGTTAGACAAGGTCCCCCACAGAATATATTTACTAGGCTCAGTTAAGCCAGTAATTAAAGCATAAGGTCAATGGTAGGGAGTTGGTGACACTTCAGTTATTCTTGGAGTTCAACTGCTATTGGCTTTAGCCAGCATAACCAATAGTGAGAGATGGTGGAAATTGTATATCAACAACATCTGGAGGACCATATGTATTCCATCACTGCTTTAAGCAAAAAATGTTTAATGTAGCAATTCCTGCTTTCAGTAGCGTGTTTAGATTAGTCACTTTTATAATCCAAGTGCTGCATGAAGTAGAAAAAATTATGAGGCTTTTACAAAAGTGATAGGATATTTCTTAATAATTAGATGAATTCTGAACATGCGATATTAAAATATGGCTTGGGCAAAAAGCTATTTTATTAGTACTTTAAAGATGGCAAAGAAGTGTGTATAGTCAAGGCTATGGTTTTCCCAGTTGCAATGTATGGCTGTGAAAGTTGGACCATAAGGAAGGCTGAGCACCAAAGGATTGAGGCCTTTGAATTGTGGTGCTGGAGGAGACTCCTGCGAGTCCCTTGGACCGCAAGGCGATCAAACCAGTCAGTGCTAGAGGAGATCAACCCTGACTAATCTTTAGAAGGCCAGATACTGAAGATGAAACTCAAATACTTTGGCCACCTAATGAGAAGGAAGGACTCCCTGGAGAAGAGCCTAATGCTGGGCACAATAGATGGCAAAAGAAGAAGGGGACAGCAGAAGATGAGGTGGCCAGATGGCGTCACTGAAGCAGTTGGTGTGAGCTTAAGTGGACTCCGGGGATGGTGGAGGACAGGAAGGCCTGGAGGAATGTTGTCCATAGGGTCTCGATGGGTCAGACACGACTTCACGACTAACAACAACAAAGATGACAAACTGAAAATAACTGAAAACAAGCTATTTAACCATGTGCTGCATTGTATTGTGGCCCAAACTTTTCTGGAAGTCTCATGCCTGCTGAATAAGGGGTGAAGTTCTCTAGACCATAACAGTAAAGAAAAGGCTAATAGATTGCTTGCATTCTCCCCATTTCCTGTTTGTAACTAGTCCCGTGGTAGCTCACCTTCCTAGTCAAAATAAAGACCTCTTCATCAAAGTGACACTCACTTGTCATCAGTATGTGTATCACCTCAGGAGCCTGGTCCAGCCAAGGGCATGTTAGTTAGATTTCAGGATAAACAGGGAGAGACAAAACCATCCATGTAAAAAATAACATACAGTGATAGAATATAGATACAGATAATAATAAAAGGCAAAGATAAGCTTACACATGCCCCTAAGTTGTAGTGCTTTCTAGTTAGACAGACACTGTTCCAGGGCTCTAGTTTCTTTAATACTTGTGTAGTCCTTATACCAGGCTGAAAGCCAAAGCACAAACTAACAAACTATGAATTTTATAAAGGTTTCTCTCCCAAGTTTCAGAAGCTATCAATAAGCCACAAACTACCTCCTACCTGGTAGTCAAAGGCAGGATGAAGCTACTTCAGGAAAGCACAGTTTCATTTCTCACAGCAAAGCAATCTTTATCTAAATACTCTTGTAGACAAGTCACCTTCTAGATAATTATCTTTGATGCTGTTTCTCACTAATAAAAACAGAAGTTATACATAAGACCCTGGCAGGGCTCCAAAAAAATATCCAGGCTTCTGGATGCTGTGAAAGGTCATTTTACTACCTGTTGAACTTAATTTCCTCTCCAGTCTTCCAGTGTAGCCCAATTTATACAGTACACTTACACAATAGTTCCACTATGAGTAGTGAGGACAGTCTTTATAAACCTGTGATAGGGAATGTGTGGTCCTTCAGATGTTGTTGCACTGCAGCTCCAATGAATCCTAGTGAATATACATGTATAGTCAGTGATGCAGGTTGGTAGGAGTTGTTGTCCAACAACACTGAGAGTACCACGCATTCCCTGTCCTTTCTGTAAGCTCTTCCACTGCATTTTTCTGTGCTGCATAGGCCATCAACATAACTGATGTGAATTTGTACATTTCTGTAGCCCCTTAGTAATAAACTAAAAAATTGTTGCAGTAGTTGCATTTCCTGTGGGCAAGGAAAACCTGCTTATGTTATTCAAGAAGGATTAAAAGTTTCATGAGTGAGGATTTGCATCATCCCATAGCTCATATTTTAATGTTTTACATGGTTTCATAATTTAGTTCTATATATTTATAATGTGGTGTTAATATTTAAAGAAAACAGAGTTCTGGGAATAGGGGTAAAGACATTAGAGAGCATGTTTGTCATATACAGCTTTCTTGCTAGCTAAGTTTCCTTTTGCAAAACAGTGTAGTAATGTAGTAATGCAGTAACTTTCTAGAAATGCCAAATAATCAAAAGTTCTAATTTATTTTGTTGTGGAGCTTGTTGCCAAATCAGGTCACACCATAGTGGCGTTTTAGTATCTCAGACAAAGTTTTGGAAAATGTGAACTGTTTTTGTGCTTTAAACTGGTTCCTAGTATTACTGTAAAACCAGCATTTGCTGGGATGGGATGTTTCATTGTCAGTAACATAAATAACCAATATACAATTATATCTGAACTCCTTGCACAGGACAGAGCTATCTACACATCAGTACCAAACAAGATCAGTATCTTTTGGGAGTCCATATCTTTCCTTTCCCTGCTATGCTTCCTGTTGGCTGATGTGTGTGTCCATGGATGTATGTACATATCAAATTGTATCTAGTCTGACACATGTGGGAGTTACTCTTGATTTAATTTTCTGTTCTAGTCAGAAAGTGCCAGAAGTGGG